CGCGCTCCATGGAAGGGTCAGGCCTCCCGAGCCTCCCGGCAGGCTGGGCGTACGCCTGGTTCCCCGCGCCGATCTGGGTCGGACCCGGCGCGCCGCCGCCGCCGCCGCCGCCGGCAGAGCGAGCGTGCGCCCCCGGAGGAGCGGCGGCGTTCGGGACCGTCGACCTGGCCCCGGCGTGCTGGGGCGGCGTACTGGGGCGGCGTCGGCGACTGGAGCCAACGCGGCGATGCCCCAGCCCTGGCCGCTCGCGCTCTCGCAGGCCTCCAGAGGAGCGGCCTGCGAGCAGAGGCCGTGGCGGGCGCCGCCGCGCAAGCCCCCGCCGGAGCCGGCGCCGCCGAGGCCGGCGCCGGAGGCGGCGCCGGCCCCGGACTCCGAGCACGAGGAGTCGGAGGAGAGCTCGTACGAGGAGGAGGGGGGCGAGGAGGAGGCGGTGCCGGAGCCTGCGCCAGCAGCCCCTGCCCGGACGGCTGGCGCGGAGGGCCGGCCGGGCCCGCCCCTGGCGCCCCCCGCGAAGGCGCCGCTCAAGACGGCAGCCGCGCCCCCCGCAGCTCCCGGGGCAGGGGCAGACGCTGCCGGAGGAGGCAGCGCGTCCGCCCCCCGCGCGAGGCTCGTCGCCGCAGCCCTCGAGCTGGCGGGGCTGCAGGGGTACCGCGCCGAGGATTTTCCCGAGGGAGTGCTTCTCCGGGCGGTGGGGATTTGAGCTCGGCGTCCGGGGCCTCCATGCCGTGGTACGGCTCAGGGAGTTCTTGCCGCTGGGCCGACACCGCGGACGACGAGGGGCTTGGGACGCTGGACCCCAGCGACGGCTTGGAGGCTGCGCAGCCGTCTGCGTGCCGCGTGGTCGCCACGCCCCCCCGGCAGCAGCCGCCGCGGCCCGGCAGCCCGCGGCAGCGAACCGGTAGCGGCTGCGACTTCGATCGCCCACCGCCTCCCATAGGGTTCGGCCCTGTGGTCGAGGGCGGCGCTGCGGCTTGCCCCCGGGCGCGGGCGCCGCCGCCAAGGAGGGCGACGCGGCAACGTGCCCCCTCGACGTGGGCGAGTTCGCCATCGAGGGCAAATACGACGCTCTTGGCGCCCTCCCTCCTGGGCCTGGCCCGGTGGAGGTCGAGGTGGAAGTGGCGGCGGAACCGGCCTCCCCCCTTCCCGGCCACGAGGTGGAGATCGCGCGGCGCATTTCCGCTGGGTGGCGCGACTTGGCCCCTGGACCGCCGCCTCCGGCCATGGACCCGATGGCTGAGGGGGGCACCCTCCCCGCTGGGACGCCCCCAGTGGAGGTCGAGGTGGAGGTGGCGGCGGCGCCGGCCTCCCCCCTCCTCGGCCACGAGGTGGAGATCGCGCGGCACTTCTCCGCCCGGTGGCGCGACTGGGCCCCTGGACCGCCGCCTCCGGCCGCAGTGCGGATCCCAGGTGCCGAGGCTGGCGCACCCTCCCTCCCGGGGGCGCCCCCGGTGGAGGTCGAGGTGGCGGCGGCTGCCGCGGAGGCGGCCGCGGGCCCGCCGGCAGCCACGGCGGCAGCCGAGGCCGAGGCGGACACCCTCCCTCCCGGGGCGCCCCAGGTGGAGGTCGAGGCGGCGGCAGCGGCGGCGGAGGCGGCGGCGGCGCACGCACCACCTTGCCCTGGTGCATGCGCTGGTGCGGGCTGGCGGCCGCGCTGCCGAGGTGGGGCCGGCGCCCCACCTGCGCGTCCCCCCCGCGCTGGCAGCTGCAGCGGCGGCGGGGAAACCGCGCTCGGCCGCCCGCCGGACCCGGAGCTCGCGGAGCTCACATGGGCCTCGTGTGGCGGCCGGCATCGGCGCGGCAGGGTATAGCCTTATATAGGCGGGCGGCACGTCGCCGCGGCCAAAGGGCTGCCGGGCCTGAGCGGGGCTGCGCCGGGCGCGGGCGCCCCCCCGTGGGCCCCCTTGCCCCATATCCGCTTCCCTCCCCGCCTTTCTCGCGCCTCTGTCGTTCGTCTGGCGTGCGTCGTTCGTCGTCGCGTCGGTGTCGCCTCCCGCGCTCTGCCGCTGGGCTCCCGCTCGCTGGTGAGAAGTGTCCGCGGCGCCGGTGCGAACACCTCAGTTGACTACAGTCGGGGCCTTGACCTAAGGAACCCTAAATAAGGAACGAGGCCCCTTTTTCCTACAAGTTCAACCTCGATTTCCCATCGAAAAAATAAGGAAAACCTGATGCAAACTGCGACACACTTAAGGAACACGGAGCCCCTCCCCAACGAAAAGGGTTCCTTCTTCAGGGCCCCGACTGTAATCGACCGCCGTCCACCAGTGGAAGTGACAGAAGACCAAGGCCGCAAGGGTGAGCAATCACGAGCGAAACGCCAAACCCAGCCTAACGACAAGGTTGGCGGCGCAACACGGAGGCATGAGCAACATCAGGACGGATGAGGGAATGCACACACGGAGAGGGGTGCTGAGGGAAGGAATGGGAGGTTGATGAAGGGCAGATTTTGGCTTATGAGGAGAGAAAGAGATTAAGATGGACAGAAAAATCGACTGGCGAAAAGCAGACAGCGACATTCTCGACCGTGCCTGCTCTGGGCGATTGGAGGCTCCATGGGTAGGTTGTTCGCCCATGAGTGTGCAGTCGCGGCGAATCGATCCCTCTGTACATTTCTGCGGCCGCTGGAGTGACGATTACTGTCAGGAGGAGGAGAAGGCGGAAGAGGAGGAGGAGACCCGATCCCATCTGGCAGGTCATCCGAGGCGCCCGCACCTGCCAGAAGCCTTATCGCCGCGCCAGAGACCTCGCCCTGGCATCCCTTCGGCAAATAAGGCGGAGACGGCCTGCTGCAAGCCGTATGGCTCGCGAAGCGCTTTGGGCCGCCTCTGGGAAGAGGAGGAGGAGGAGGAGGCGAGGAGGAGGAGGAGGAGGAGGAGGAGGAGGAACAGGAGGAGGGCGCGACGGACGGACGGAGGACGAGGAAGGCGACTCGTAGCTGGACGAACCGCGGAAGGCTGGTGGCGCAGCGGGTTTTTGGGAGGCCCGCTCGGGACGACCCCGGCCGTCCCCGATAGCACGAGCAGGCGGCGGCCGCCCCAGGAGGAGGGAGGAGGAGGAGGAGGAGGAGGAGGAGGAGGAGGAGGAGGAGGAGGAGGAGGAGGAGGAGGAGGAGGAGGAGGAGGAGGAGGAGGATGGGAGGAGGAGGTGGAGGAGGAGGAGGAGGGAGGAGGAGGGAGGAGGAGGAGGACGAGAGCTCTGACAGGGCGGAGCTCCACGGGCCGGGAGGCGAGATGCCGACGGGCACGGCGCCGAGGGCGCGGCGCGGGGTATGGGGTATGGAAGGTGCAGCTCCTGCCTCGGGGGAAAAAGAACGGAGCGTGGCAAGGCCACTCGCCCTCGCCCTCCTGCTGTCTCTTCCGTCCTTCCTTCCTTCCTCCCTTCCTCCCTCGAGGCGCATGGGCTTCTTGCGCTCTGGGTCCAGCCAGGCACGTAAATTGCGGTAGCAGCCGCCGCATGACTTCAGCCAGGGAGACGCGTAGCTTTCGTGGATGTTTTGTACCCCCTCCGTGCGCCCCGCGCTGGACACTCAAGCGCCGCTGACAACTCACAGTTGCAGATGAGAACTGTGTGGCCACCGGCCTGGTTCGCCACTCGGGCTTGACGCGGAACTGTGCGCCCAGCGCCATCCTCGCCGACTCGTCCCAAATATCAAGCGGTGCTCAAACATGTCTGGCTCGGCCAGCACTACATGAAGCTCCGCGCCATGCAGATGAAATGCCTCGCCGCAGGCTTCTGCAACGGTGCGCTCCTCTCCTGCTCTAACCTTCCTCCTGGCGCAGCGAGGAGCTCTCTCGACGCCTGGCCGCACCCTGGCCTCCTCCAAGACCGCCGCGGTGAGGACGAGCGTCGCGGCGAGCCCGCAGGCGGCAGCGACGAGCAGGAACAACCTCCCTCCTCCCTCCTCTTCATCCTCGTCCTCTCGAGAATCCTCAGAATGTGTGTTAGCGCAAACGTGTTTGTCCACCGACTCCCTCCAATGCGAAGCAGGCGGCGTAGATAACGAAGGCCAACACGGGCTGCGTTGCATCGACGGCGCTGAACGGGGTAAGCACGCATGGGATTGGCACACGTCCTGAGAATCATCGACCCTCTTCCTCCTGGTCCTCCTCCTTCTTCTTCTCCTCCTCCTCCTCCTCCTCCTCCTCCTCCTCCTCCTCCATCTCCCGTCCTTGCGAGGCGGGGATCTGTCGATATCAACCGCCTGCGGAATCGACGTCCTGGGACCCCAGCGGACGGTGAATCTATGGCTAGGTCTGGACCCCAGGGAGGCCCGCACAGCTCCAGATCCGCCGCCTGCCGAGGCCTTCGAACATCGACCCTCCGGGCGGGTGCCCCGTACCAGCCCCCGCCCGCCGCGAACGCCCGTCCTGCTTCTTGGCTTGGGGACGCGGGTGAGAATCAGGCGCCAGGTCCCGAACGCTCGGCACAATCGGGAGCGGCCAAGAGGGGGGTGTCCAAGAGGGGGGGGTGCAAATCATGACCGGCGGCATGTGCGCGGCCCAGCGGGGGGGCCTGGGACGCAATGAAATGAGAAGAGGCGCCATGAAATCTGGGGAAACATCATGGCCCACGCCATGATATCCACACCCCCCTAGTCATCACCCCCCTCTTTGCCGCCCCCGACACAAAGAGGCGAGCGGGGACCGAGCGATGGCCCCGAGAGACGCACGGGGCGAGCGCCGCGGAAGCCACGCGGCGGAGGGAAAACGACCGAGCGAAACGACCGAGGCCCGAAAGCCCGAGGGGACTGCTCCCGGCCGGGTCCCTCCCCGGTGGGCCGGAGCGGGGAGCAGATTTGAAGGGGCCCCGGGACACACAAAAAAAGACACACAAATAAAAAGATTCCCCATATTTTCCCATATTTTCTGGGTTTTTGTCTCCCCCCCCACTCCCCATATTTTCCAATCTTTTCCTGGGAATCGACGATTAATTGTGTCTGTGTGTTTTTTCTCCTCCTGAAGATTCCCAGCCTGGAACATATCCCTATCCCTATGCTGGGCACCTCCTAATCACGATGCCGACCTTAAGGATTCCCTTCTTTTTGGAGGGCGGATCCCAGAGATTGCAATCGCCTTTTGGCGTGTCGATCTTAAGGATAGGGATACGTTCGAGGCTGGTAAGCAGAGGCGGCAGGGGAGAGCGGAGGCGCCGCCGGGACCAGGGAAGCGAGCAGCACTGCAGGAGGCGAGGAGGCGGAGCAGGGACCGAAGCAGCGACGCGGCCAGAGGCAAAACTGACGGCAAGGACGCAGGATGACTCGCCATCGCTCGGACGTCCATTCCCTGTGTTTTTGTTCGGTTTCGTGCGTGGTTTTTTCGCCAAATGATCAAGGATGCTCCTCGATGGTCCTCGCCGAAGGAAAGATGCACACGTCCGAGCGATGCCAAGGGATGAGGGTGCAAGGGCCTTGGAAGGTCATGGCGGCACTTTTCGAGCCGGGCGCGGCCAAGGAAGGTGGCCAAGGATGGGCCGAAGGGAAAGGATGCAACGGAGACCTTGGAAAGTCGCGCATCCTTACTATCAGTGTTGACTGTACAGGAAGAAACAAACAACATTGAAAAGGCCCAGGGGCACACACACAAATAGACACAAATCCCAGGATCCCAATACTATTCTACGTATTTTCTGGAATTTCGTCTTTTCCTCCACTTCCTCTATTTTCCAGTCTTCTCCTTAGACTCGACGAATTGTCGTGTCTGTCTATTTTTCCCGCAACAGCGGCAGCTGTTGGGCAGACGACCTCCTCACTCAAAAAAACAACTTCAACACCCACGGAGACGCCGACAGCGAACCCCGTTCAGAACGGACGCGGAATGGTGTGAGCCTGCGTACCCCCCTTCCTTCCGTTCAGAGGCGACGATGGGAGCGAATAGCCCAGGGAAGAGCAATACACGTATCCAAAAGCGCCGACGATCTATGTCCTCGAAAAGGCTCCCGGGCGAATGCGTGTAATGCCCGCCCCTGGGCCATTCGCCCCTATCGTCGAAGCCGAGGCGTACCCCATCGGGGATCTTCTGACCCAGGTCAATCCAGACCCGGATCAGCAGGAAACCAACAAAACTGCAATGCAGGACATAAAAACTGCAACGCAGGGCTTCGCAAACCCGGGTCAGCCAATATGCGCGGCCGCCCCGCGGCCACGAGCGGCTCGCTAACCCGGGTCAGCCAGAGGGGGTCTTCGCAGGATCTTGCAGGATCCAGTGCCCTGGCTGACCCCCGTGTGCATTGACCCCCGTCCCAAGGCTCCCGACCCCACCTCGGCCCTTCAGCAATCCTTGGGCCGGCGCGGGACCACCGCTCCCCTGGCGCGCTGCAGCGCGCCAGAGAAGCGCCGCCAGAGCGGGGGCCCAGCGTTAAGTCGGGCCTGTCCCCCCACAGGGGGATTTTCGACGAAAAATAAAAAGTACCCCAAAAATGCTCCAAAAAGGTCAAACAATGCTCCAAAAATAATCCCCAGACTATGTTTGGACTATGTTTGACTATTTTGGGGGTGCTTTTTATTTTTCGACGACAATCCCCCTGTAGGGGGACAGGCCCGACCTAAGCCCAGCGCCGACCCGAGGAGCCCGGGCGGACCTCTCTCAGGCTTTTGGCTTCCCGCCGCGCTCTGGCTTCTGCGGGCGACGCAGCACAAAAGGCGCTGGGCGCAGCGCGCACCGGGCCGGCGACATCGACGGCGGCCACCGGCGACTCGACGGCGGGGGGCGGCTCTTGTAGGAGCCCTTGCTCACCAGCCAGTTCGCCAGCTCCGGCTTGCCTGCGGCTCCCAAGCGACGGCGCCAGACCCGATCCGCCCCCCCTTCCCGCCGAGAGAGCACCCTGGGGGATCTCTCGCGTTGCCTCTCCGTCCTCTGAGCTGCCTTTTTTGTTCTTCCTCTCTCTCTCTCTCCCTATCTACCTCTCTCTCTCTCTCTCTCTCCCCCCTCGCAAGACGAGACCAAGACTGAGGAGACAAAATCGGACCGGGACACATCAAGGACACTTGAGTTTCGGCGGATCCGGAGGCACTCCAGGCTGCCATGAAAGCGTTCCGGAACGCTCTGGAACGAGCTACGGTACAATCGTGTCGTGACGACCCTGGCGTTGATTTCTGGCACCGCGTGGATCGTTCAACCTTGAACGATCGGCGGCTTCTCGATCGCCAGGTCGCTCCGTATCGGTCGATTCTGGACCACTGGCGGCGCTCAGCCTGGAACGCCAGAGGCGTGGGCGCCGCCGCGTCGGGACCACGCGAACCTGCCGTAACCTAGGGCAACCATCTTCGCGCTTCGCGCTCCGCGAAGCGCGATTACCTTCGCGCTTTCGCGCCGCCCCCCGTCCCCCGGAACAGGATGAGGGACTCGCGCCTCGCTCTGAAATCGCCCAGGCCGCGAAGTGCGAAGCGTGACTAACGTCGCTCCCTCGTGGTGGCCCTGGCGCATCCTGGTCCTAATTAGGCCCGCGCGATCTTACAGAATGACCATAACAGGGGATATGTCGACCCCTATCCCAGGCTTCGTGGGGTTTCCGAATGGACCAGAAATTTGGGGCCTAACCCTGGGATATACGATGGGGGGGTGTCCATTCTCGATAGGGGTGCGTCCGAATAGCCCCCTTGGGGTGTATCCCAGGGTTTTCCCATTCTTCTGAGCGGCCAGACTTTTCGGGCGAAACTCGGGGATTGGGGGAGAAACATCGCCCGCGAGACCAGGGGAACGAACCACGACGTGCACATAAAAGCTCGGAGGTACGCGTGGAGTTCTCGGATCGGCGCTGGACGGACCCCTTCTTCTGGCGGGGCGCGCCATGGGGCGGAGCCGGAGGCGCCGCCAGGGTGGTCCAGCACCGATCCGAGAAATCCGCGCGGGCAGCCGAGCTGCTCTGTGGATGCCGTGCCTCGTTCCCCGAACGTCGTCCCTCGCGTCCGCCTCGTGGCCCCCCTCTCGAGTCGCTCTGCTGATGGTCCGAGGCCCAGCGAGGGCCCCGGGAGGCCGAACACTGCCCAACCCCCGCCTCTCTTGGGAGCGTCGGATCCCACAGCAGGCGAGCTACGAAAAAACACCCGAGCCGTCCGAGCAGGCCCGGGATCCGCATCGTCCACGGCGCGCGCACGCGCGCCCGACTGTGGACCTCTCGCGTCCGCCTCGTGCCGCCGTCGTCTCGCCTCGCCTCCTTGTGCGCACGGCCATGCGCGGCGCGCGGGAGCCCCCCGGGCACGGGAGCGGCGGCGTCCGCGCCTTGGAAGGCGGCCACCTGGCAGAGCGTGAGGCTATCCTCGGCGACGCCGGCGCCCCCCCCCCCCCCCCGCAGCAGGCCCGACGGAGCCGACGTCCGCGAGGCCTCCCTTCCGAGGGTAATGACAGATCGACGGCGCGCCCAGGGAGGAAGGCAAGGGGGGGCACCTCCTCCTCCTCTGCCTCCTCCTCCCCCTCCTCCCCCCTCCCCCTCGTCCTCCTCCTCCTCCTCCACCTCCTCCTCCTCCTCCTCCTCCTCCGCCTCCTCCTCCGCATACTCCCCCTCCTCCCCCCCACAATACCTAATATGAATACTACTCTCCCTCTTCCCCTGATGACGGAATGGGAGTAGCCGACCCCCCCCGCGTATTGTTTTTTTACCCACAGGTTTCCCCGGAGTTGGGTTTTCGCTTGCATTTTTTCCAAAATGCTGCTCTCGCTGAGGCGCCGGCCTCATTTTCGGGCCCCGCTCGTTCCGAATCGTGCTCCCGCTGCAGCGCTGGCCTCATTTCCGCCGGCGCGGGCTGCACGCCCGAGACGGCGCCCCGGGTGGCGCTCGGGCCGCCGGGTCCGGAGCCGGTTCCAGCCGCCCCCGGAAAATGGAGTTCCGAGGCGGCGCCGAAAAAAGGCAATTCTAATACACATTTTTCTTGTGAAAATGCTCAAGTCTGCTTCCGGCGCCCAGGAGGCCTCCGGGGCCGATTCCGACGCCCGGGCCGGCGCCCGAGCCGGCGCCCTGGCCGGACGCCCGAGCCGGCGCCCGGGCCGGCACCCGGGCCGGGTCCGAAGCCGGTTCCGGCCGGCGCCGGAAAATCGAGTTCCGAGGCGGCGCCGAAAAGAAACTATTCTAATATATATATATATAGAGAGAGAGAGAGAGATATATATATATATATATATATATTTTATATATATATATACATACCTAACATAGAAGACTGATAGGTTTTTACTAGAATCAAAAGAAATCATCATGACGCCCCGGGGGGGTCTGGGCATGATCCGGGGGAGTGCCGGGGATTTTTTTTGTTGCCAGCAGTTACACACTTCGTGGTTTTCAAGGTTCCAGAACCCCATTCCCGGGCCACATTCTGAATGCCTGCAGCCAACTCTAAGCCACTTCGTGGTCTTCGAGTTCCCAGAACTCCATTCCCGGGCTACATTTTGAATGCCCGGAGCCAACTGTAGGCCACTTCGTGCTCTTCGAGTTCCCAGAACTCCATTCCTGGGCCACATTTATTTTGAATGCCCCGGAGCCAACTCTAGGCCACTTCGTGGTCTTCGAGGTCCCAAAAATCGATTCCTGGGCAAGATTTTGAATGCCCGGAGCCATCTGTAGGCCACTTCGTGCTCTTCGAGTTCCCAAAACTCCATCCCCGGGCCACATTTTCAATGCTGAGGCAGGCTGATGCTGAGGCTGAAGCAGGCTGAGGCTGAGGCAGGCTGAGGCTGAGACCGAGGCTGAAGGCAGACTGAGGCTGAGGCTGAAGCAGGCAAAGGCTGAGGCTGAGGCTGAGGCTGAGGCTAAGGCTGAGGCTGAGGCTGATGCTGAGGCAGGCTGAGGCTGAGGCTGAGGCTGATGCAGGCTGGGGCTGAGGCAGACTGAGGCTGAGGCCGAGGCTGAAGGCAGACTGAGGCTGAGGCTGAAGCAGGCTGAGGCTGAGGCAGGCTGAGGCTGAGGCTGAGGCTGATGCTGAGGCAGGCTGAGGCTGAGGCTGAGGCTGATGCAGGCTGAGGCTGAGGCTGGGCGAGGCTGAAGGCAGATGAGGCTGAGGCTGAAGCAGGCTGAGGCTGAGGCTGAGGCAGGCTGAGGCGGAGGCTGAGGCAGGCTGATGCTGAGGCAGGCTGAGGCTGAGGCTGAGGCTGATGCAGGCTGAGGCTGAGGCAGGCTGAGGCTGAGGCCGAGGCTGAAGGCAGACTGAGGCTGAGGCTGAAGCAGACTGAGGCTGAGGCTGAGGCAGGCTGAGGCTGAGGCTGAAGGCAGGCTGATGCTGAGGCAGGCTGAGGCTGAGGCTGAGGCTGATGCAGGCTGAGGCTGAGGCAGGCTGAGGCTGAGGCCGAGGCTGAGGCAGGCTGAGGCTCAGGCTGAAGCAGGCTGAGGCTGAGGCTGAGGCAGGGCTGAGGCTGAGGCTGAGGCAGGCTGATGCTGAGGCAGGCTGAGGCTGAGGCTGAGGCTGATGCAGGCTGAGGCTGAGGCAGGCTGAGGCTGAGGCCGAGGCTGAAGGCAGACTGAGGCTGAGGCTCATGCATGCTGAGGCTGAGGCTGAGGCAGGCTGAGGCTGAGGCAGGCTGATGCTTAGGCAGAGGCTGAGGCAGGCTCAGGCTGAGGCAGGCTGAGGCTGAGGCCGAGGCTACAGGCAGACTGAGGCTGAGGCTGAAGCAGGCCGAGGCTGAGGCTGAGGCAGGCTGAGGCTGAGGCTGAGGCTGAGGCAGGCTGAGGCTGAGGCAGGCTGAGGCTGAGGCTGAGGCTGATGCAGGCTGAGGCTGGGGCAGACTGAGGCTGAGGCCGAGGCCGGCGGCAGACTGAGGCTGAGGCTGAAGAAGGCTGAGGCTGAGGCAGGCTGAGGCTGAGGCTGAGGCAGGCTGATGCTGAGGCAGGCTGAGGCTGAGGCAGGCTGAGGCTGAGGCTGAGGCTGATGCAGGGTGAGGCTGAGGCTGAGGCTGAGGCCGAGGCTGAAGGCAGGATGTTGAGGCTGAAGCAGGCTGAGGCTGAGGCTGAGGCAGGCTGAAGCTGAGGCTGAGGCAGGCTGAGGCTGAGGCTGTGACTGCGACTGCCGTTGCCGCTGCGACTGCCATCGCGAACAGAATTCTACAACAGGATTCTCATCTGAATCTAAAGGGAATGCTTCCAAATATGCTCCTACACCTCGCTGTTAGGTTGCTTTGCCGGGTTTTTTTTTTTTTTTTTTTTTTGAAAATGCTCAATTTCTGCTTCCGGCGCCCGGGGGGCCTCCCGGGCCGATTCCGATGGCGCCCGAGCCAATTTCTGCTTCCGGCGCCCGGGGGGCCTCCCGGGCCGATTCCGACGCCCGGGCTGGCGCCCGAGCCGGCGCCCGGGCCAGACGCCCGAGCCGGCGCCCGGGCTGGCGCCCGGGCCGGGTCCGGAGCCGGTTCCGGCCGGCGCCGGAAAATCGAGTTCCGAGGGGGCGCCGAAAAAAGGCCATTCCAATACACATTTTTTTGAAAATGCTGAATTTCTGCTTCTGCCGCCCGGGAAGCCTCCCAGGCCGATTCTGGCGTGCTTCCGCTCGTTCCGAATCGTGCTCCCGCTGCAGCGCTGGCCTCCTTTCCGCGCTTCCGCTCGTTTCGACTCGTGCTCCCGCTGCAGCGCTGGCGTCATTTCCCGTGCCATGCCACGGCATGCAATGCAATGCTAGGTTGATACTACGCTTCGCGGTGCTCGTCTACGCCATGCCATGCCGTGCTCTACAATGCATCGCGTACCCTTTCGGGATCATTGCCCTGCTCGACATCCGACTGTGCGAGTAGAGAGGGGATCTGCGCCATGGTAAGGGATGGGAGGGAGGGGTAGGATGTCAGATATGACGCGAGCGCACCTAGCTTGTCCCCCTCCCCCTCCTCCTCTCTCCTCCCCTCCTCCCCTCCCCCTCCTCCTCCTCCCCCTCCGCCTCCTCCCCTCCGCCCTCTCCTCCTCCTCCTCCTCCTCCTCCTCCTCACCTCCTCCTCCTCCTCCTCCTTCTCCTCCCCCTCCTCCTCCTCCTCTCCTCATCCTCCTCCTCCTCCTCCTCCTCCTCCTCCTCCTCCTCCTCCTCCTCCTCCCCCTCCTCCTCCCCCTCCTCCTTCCGCTCTTCTCCTCCTCTTCCCCTTCATACTCCTCCTCCTCCTCCTTTTCCTCCTTCTCCGCCTCCTCCTCCCGGGCCTTCTCAGGAGATTCAGGAGGCTTCCCCGCCCCTAGACCTCTGGGAAGCTCTCGAAATCTTCTGGGAAGCCGCAGAGAGCTTCTGAGACGGCCGCGAGGGGGGGGCTTCTGCGAAGCCGCGCCGCCGTCTGAGAAGGCTCGCCCCCTCCCATTTCCCCCCTCAAATCTGCCAACAGGCCCCCGAGAGGCCTCCCACGACATCCCAACGAACATCCAAGAAGCTTCTATCCAACAACCCAGGCACGGTGGCGGGACTTGCCGAAGGCAGCTGGGTCCGCCGCCCCCTGTTGATTCATCACAAGGGTGCCTGGCGTGCTGAACTTCTTACGATTTTGGTTGGTTCTTTTCCAAAAGAACTCTCCCAATGGGCTCCGGCGCGTCCCGCAGGGGTCCCGGGAGGATGCCGCAAGAACTTCCAGAGGTGGTTGCAAAGGGTTTTTCCGTTCCAGACGGCTCCAAGATGGCCTAAGATAGCCTCCAAGACGGCCAAGATGGCCTCCAAGACGGCTAAGATGGCCCCAAGATGCCTCCAAGATGGCCCAAGATGCACCCAAGACGGCCTAAAATTGCCTCAAGATGGCCCAAAACGGCCCAAGAGGCTCCTTAGAGGCCTCCAAGACGGCCCAAGAGGCCTACAAGAGGTCCTCCAGGAAGGCCCAAAGAAGCCAAAATCATTAATTTTCCTTAAGTTTTTGAAGGATTTTGGCATTTGCGCATTTTCGGCTTTCCGACGGCCCAAGACGGCCCAAGAGGCCCCAAAGGTCGCCGCAAGATCGCCCAACCTTCAAGATGGCCCCATGACGGCCCAAGAGGCCCCTCACGACGGCCCCTCACGACGGCCCGAGAGGCCTCGAAGACGCCCAAGATAGCCTCCAAGACAGCCAAGATGGCCCAAGATGGCCTCCAAGATGCCTCTATGCCGGCCAAGATGGCCTCCAAGACGGCCCAAGAGGCCTACAAGAGGTCCTCCAGGAAGGCCCAAAGAAGCCAAAATCATTAATGTTCCTTAGGTTTTTGAAGGATTTTGGCATTTGCGCATTTTCGGCTTTCCGACGGCCCAAGACGGCCCAAGAGGCCCCAAAGGTCGCCGCAAGATCGCCCAACCTTCAAGATGGCCCCATGACGGCCCAAGAGGCCCCTCACGACGGCCCCTCACGACG